GGCACAATTAAAGAGAGCTTAAGAATAACAAAAGATTAATACAAATACCTATTGCAAGGAACAATCATAATTCAACATGGATGACAACATATGGTTACTTTATTGAAATATCAAGATTACTCGTCTTTGTGACAAGTTGGACTATTATAAGCTTTGACCTTTTTTTTTTAATAAACAAGTCAATTATGTTGCTTATCGATTATATCTATCAAAGTCTATGAAGATCCATTTTATATTTCATGTGTCTCTTCTTGAGCCATATAAGAGAGTGAATATCTTAAAAAGTAAACAAATGCCACCTCCTCTTATAGAAGTGGAAAATTATCAAGAGTTTGAGGTGGAAGAAGTTTTAGATTCAAGGCAATGCAAAATAGATTAAAATATCTTGTTCATTGGGATCGATATGATAATAGTGAATGCAAATAGAACCCAACAAAGAATCTTTTAAATGCAACAAAAAGAGTTGAGGCTTTTTATTTACAACATTTATCAAAATCAAGATAAAAAAGAGCAAATCTTTGCTATAAAAGGAACAATATCCAAGAAAGATAGCTATAGAATAGATATTAGTTTTTTTCTATAAGATATTGATAAAATAGACTAATAGTCTATAGAATAGTCAGTTCAGGAGGACAGATGATTAACTTAGTTATTAAAAGTGATTAATTATAGGATTACAGTTAGAATCTAGGAATAGGGAGTAAATATATAGGAGTTGTAGAAGTTAGTCTGAGGGCCAGATTGTGATAGTCATGAGCCGAGGTAAGCTTGGTGCTATCTCTTTGTTTTTTTGTTGTTAAAGAGTAATGGATAGTTTCTAAATACTGTGAAGTGAATCTGTGGAATAAATCAAAGATTACTTTATGAATTATTGATTATATAATTGGAGTACTGTGTCGTTGGATTATTGTGAACAGATATTGGGAGTTTGTTATCAGATTCTGTGGGAGATTATTAATGGATAGAAGATTATGATTATTGTTTATTGAGATTTGTGTGTGTTTCTACAGAAGAAGTCTGTGATTACAAAAATTGTGTGAAGACAGATTGTATGGAGTAGAAATATGTTATTTCTAGTGTTGGATGGAATTTATGTATTTAGAGTGGTCTTTTAAGATAGTATAAGAGTTGCGCTTTGTTGTTATCAGTGATTGCAGAGTACTATTAGGAAATGGAAAGCATTGTAGTATTCTTAAGTGTTTTTAGTGATTCACAATATGGTTGATTATGTGACCCTAATAAGTAGAATTCATGTACTTTGTCTTTCCCTGCATTTGAATCTTCCTATACAAGTTTATTCTGAAAGGAATTTGTAGAATAAGTAAAATAACAATTACAATAGCATTCTATCTTCTATCCTTCTTTGTAGCTTCTTTGTATTTGTGATGCTAAGAAAATAGAGAATCAACAATTAGTATATTTGATCTAAGAGCTTTTACTTGCTGACTTATTGGATAAGATATTATGATTGTCACAATCTTCAAGATAACATAATTGAGATGAAGATCCTCAAGAATGACATATCTTTTTTTAAATAAATGGTAAGATACAATAAGTTTGATATCACAACCTTGAAGAGACTTCGAATATTTGGTGATTTTATTAGAGGTAAAAAAAACTTCTGACGATATTTCAAATGTTTTATTTGAAAGAAGTTATAAAGGCCTCAACAATGATCAAATAATAATGTGGTCTTCTTGCCCTAGTATGAAACACTATTGATAGTTGAGATGACTTATCAACCATCTTCAAAGAGAACAAAGATCAAAGTATGTGGCAAATATAATTTATTACATCTTAGATTTCATCAATACAAGATGACTGCTCCTTCTAGAATTTGTTCTTAAAAAAGGGGTTAATATCACAGATATACATATATATTCTAATAAATACCTATATTATTAGATAGAAATAAATAAAAATAGATAAAAATAGATTAATTTCATAATATCTTCTAGAAAAGCTTCCTAGAAGCTTTATAGACGTTGTTTTGACTATACATGTATTTGTAATTGATTAATAGATTAGAAACTTGATCAACAAGTTAACCAGGTGTTGATAGCTTGCAAAACAAATTAACTATATGGCGCACACATAAAAAAACTTGCTTTAAAAATTAAAATACATGTCTTATAAAGTCAACATGTTTTAAAGGTCCTATATGACATCACCACATAGCTTCTAGTTAAGAGTATATATTGAGGTAAGAGTAAAGCCTCCTTCATTCTTATCAATGCCTTTTTAGTGCTTAGTCTTATATTCAAGGCTTTTTAATCTTCTTGTTTTTGGCAATAGCCATTCTAATTCAATTTTATATCATCTTTGAGTGACTTTCTAGTTCTTTTCAGCGAAACAATAGTATATTGAGGATTTTCTTTCTTTGAGATTGATGTCCTTGATATAGCCATTCTAGTTTAATACCATACCATTATTGAGTAATTTTTAGTCTCTATATATACTATCTAATTAGGGGCTACGTGACAATGTTCTATAAGATCTCTAATATGTATTGACTTTATAGGATACATGCCTTGACTTATAAGGTAAGTTTTCTATATGTGGGTCGCATAATTAGCTTGTTCTTCAAGCTACCAATATATGTGGTACATGGCCAACTTGTTGACCATGTATTAACCTAAAAAGTTAATTAAAGACATCTATAAAGTCAAAGCAACAACTATGAAGCTTCTAGGAAGCTACTATAGAAGATATTATGGAATTAACCTATTTTTACGTACTATTATCTAAATCATATAAGTAATTATTGGTTTACATGTATATATCCGTGACACTAGGTAATAATGGCTCAATATTTTAAAAGTGAAATAATGAATTTACTTTAGAATTAATATTTTGTTGAGTAAATTTCTTTGTATTAGTGGCCTAAGAATTTATTTTAATATAAAGATTTATTATAGATTCATATTTGAAATAAATCATATATGTAAAGTGCACAATATTAATATTATATAGAACTATAATTAAAGAATATAAATGCATTAAAAACAAGCTAAAAAGTTGTTTGTTGAAGATCACATCTTTGATAGTTAGTATTGTCTTTGTAGAAGGATTTTATAAGCAATGTCTTTTTACTTAAGACTAAAATATAAAAGTATATTTTTTGAACTTTTAAGATAAAATTTCTTATATTTTTGTTTAAATCGTAAATTTTGGTATTAAAAAATAATATTTTAAAACACTTAAAAGATGTTCTATAATAGATCTATAATTAAAATAAATTATTGATATTTTAATACTTAAATAATTAAAAAATATATATATATATATATATATATATATATGTATTTAGCTATTATGATAGCTTTACTTCAAAAAGAGAAAAAAGAACATTATTACTTTGCACATATATTAGATATATTCAATAAGAATTTGATTCTTTTGCTTAGCAAAACCATTTTGTTGTAGTGTGTTTATAGTTACAAATTGATGTAATATTCTATTATGTACATAAATATTTATAAAATATTTTAATAAGAGTTTTATGTTATTTTTTATTTAGATTATTTGAAGGTCATGAAAATTTTAATTTACAACCAAAGCTTTGAATTTTTAAAAGTAGGTGATTATTTTAGATTTTCTTTGTAATAAATATATAATAGAATATTTGCTCTAATTATCTATAAAATTTATAAAGTATCAAGCATTTCTTAATAAATAACTAGACATTAGGCTATAAAGATTGGAATATATTAATTTTAATAGTTTGTGTATTCTTGAAGCAAATTTAGAAAAATAAAGATAAGATTCTTTACCATACATGCAACTTTAAGAAGAATTTAAAGATAGAAGGGCTTCTTTTGTAAATCCACATAATATGCCAAAATTATGGATAAAAGAGATTTTTTATAAATTAGCGTAATCTAATTATTATTCAATAATTTAAAAGAAATAATAATATATAAGGATATATTAGTTTAAGTGATATATATTTTTTATTTTTTATTTTATAAATATCTAAAGATATAATAAAAAGATTTACTTCTTAAAAAATAAAGTCATTCTCTACAAGGTTGAAATAAAATAGTAATAGATTCATTTGAATCATGTAAATAAATGTCTCTTTTTAAGAATGTCACTTTAAAGCCAAATTTTGTTATTTTTAAATCAAAGATAATATTTTTTTTTATTAAACTAAGAACATAGTACATATTTTCAAGAAATCTATCATTTCAATTGATATAAGTAATTTTTATTGAATCATAGACAAAATTTTCTTAAATAATATTATTTCTTAGATAAACTTATTGGTAGAGATCTATTAGAGAATAAGTAGAAAAACATTCACTATAGTAAGTGAGATGGTGAGTAGTCTCTATTCTAGCTATCAATCATTAGTAAGAACATAAGTAGTGGAATTACTAACCATTATACAAACAACTCTAATAAAAATTGATGATTTATTTTTGTGAGATATTTAATCTTGAAAAAAATTATCCACTTATAAATTAACATATTTTTTATAATAATATTTTATTTTTTAATAACTACTATTTTATCAATTACTATTTTAAAATAGTTGCATGATATATAAATGAGAATGTTAAATAAACCTATGTATTTACTAAATTGATCCACCCATCCTAACCATGGTGAAGAAAAAAGAAAAGGGCCTCTATACATTTCTCTACTATTGGATCCAAAACCAATAAAAACCAACATTCATCATGATTACCATACTTTTTATCGTGGGTAGGTCGATTTAGTAAAAACTGAAGTCTATTTAACATTCACCTAAAAAAGATTGAATATATGTTTAAAAAATGGATGACACTTTGGATAAATTCACACAAACAAGAAATGCTACCATTGTCTTTAATATATAAGCTAGATATAGATATATATATAGCTTATATAGTTTAACAACAACCATACTATTGTGCAACTGTCAACAACTCGCCAACTATCAGTATGTCCCATGACCGCGGAAAGCCCATAGCCGCGATAGGAGGTGTCGACGGAACACAATGCGGCGGCAATGAAGGCAACGGGAGCGGCGGAGACAATGGCCCCATACACGGCGCGATTCTCAATCGCAAAAACCGAGATCCATCGGCAACCAGCGGCAACCAGCGGCAATTCGCGCGGCGCCCCCAATTGAGCAGCTCAAGCATGGTCGGATCCCAGGAAGCTTGGCCATCTCGGTGCCCAGAACCTTCTCCTCTCGCTGTTATGCTTGCGTATTTTGCCACATCCCCCACCGTTCTTCCAGTTTCCAGCGCAATTTGACCTTTGTGAGGGTGCTGTCTCGTCTGTGCTGTTGAGGGTCGGTTCGTGGAGGATGAGCTCCAGATTGGTGAGTTAGTCGTTAGTTGTGAGTGTGGGTGCCTGGGTTGTGGAGGTTGGATGGAGCTTTAGAGGTGGTTGCAGGTGGTCGATGGTGTTGGAGGTTGTTGAGAGGAGACGGGACGGTGTGTTGGAGAGAGGGAGGTGGGTTTTAGGGTTTTGGGGTGTGTGGGTGTGGATGTTTAATGGTTAGTTGTGATCATGGTGGTTACAGAGGCAGTATTGCAGGGAGTTCAGGGTGAGCTCGATGCCTCCGGGGTCGAGCAAGTGCCACCCTCGTCCGCCATTAATGTGTTTGTGACGGGGCAGCCCGGGGTGGGCAAGACCTCGCTGGTGCTGAACGCGGTAAAGAAGCTGCCCAAAGATGCTGTTGCGGGGTTTTATACTTTAGACGCGCTCAATCCCAAGTCAGGGGAGAAGATAGGCCTGGATGTGGAGACTTTCGCTGGGGAGAGGGCGCCTTTGTCGAGATTGCGTCGCGGATGTGGTCCTAAAGTGGGGAAGTACTATTTTGCATCGGAGGCATTCGAGAAAACGGTGTTGCCATTGCTGACTCCAAGCAAGGCAATCAAGCTGCATGTGGTGGATGAAGTGGGACGCATGGAGCTGCAGAGCGATCAGTTTAAGAAATCCTTAATGGCGTTGCTGGCTTCTCCCCAGGTGGCCGTGTTTGGCTCCCTCCCTGCCTGTAGGTTTGGCCATGATTTGCCCTTTGTTGAAGCGATTAAGCGGCGCCCAGATACCGCCATCCTGACCCTGACGAAATCCAACCGCGACGCGGCAGCGTTGCAAGTCGAGGATCTGTTGAAGAACATCGTCGGGAGTGCCGCCAGTGGAGTTGTAGCGTCGATTCTGGATTTTCAGCCTGCAAGTACTGGCTCGTCGGACTCCTTTCGGAACTTTTCCAACCCTATCCCCTCAGATATCTTCTCGTCTCCGGATATTCAACGTCACTTAGATGTAGAGGAACCAGCTGAGAAGAGAAGGAAAATGATGCCGGACCAGTCGCTTTTGTGACGGACGGATCAGTGCCACTTGCCTCAGACGATGCAACCTATGTTGCTTCATTCCGGTTTGAATAATCGCTCTGGTGCGAGTGACAATCTGCTAGTGCTGGTTTCTTTATGATTGATGGATGAGGCCTGGCAGATACGAAGAGTGTATTAGCTACATAGATAAACCATGAGATGGGGGATGACATCCTCCTCTATCACCGTTTCTTTCGTGCATACATCCTTCACTAGTGCACACGTCTTGTGCACCGTGACGGTGATGAAATCGATGGAGCTAAATTAGGGTTCAGTGAATGAATATGATAGGGGCATATTGGTCATTCGAAGCTTGCCCTCTTCATCCTTGATTGCAGGTTCGCGTCTGCATCTTGTGAAAATCATACTGATGTGATTGCAGACCTGCTGTTAGGCAGTCTCTAGTCGGAGATTTGGTACAGATTCTCCTCGTGCTGTGTGTCAGCACGCGACATGCGCCACGAATTTTCATGTCCATTTTGTGAGCTCTCATGTACACCTAACAGAAGACAGTTGTACACTATGTCCCGAACATCTTGCCAAATGAATTCCCTTTTGGTGTTGTCCCTCGTCTCTCTTGAGATCAGTGTCATTCGGCTTGGTGTGCCAACAAAGTTTCTCACTACCGCTGTGCTTGTGAGTCAAGGTGGGGTGGATCCACCCCAATTGTCATTTCTCCTCTTGTGTCCCGTGACTCGGCAAAGCCCAAAGTTTTTCTTTTTGTTTCTGCGTTTGTTTCTACAGGTCCTCTTTCAAGGCGAAAAAGTTTGGTGGGTGCTTGTGTTGAGGCCGTGGTGAACTCGCAGGTCCGTTCTGATGGTGGGGAGTGGTCGGCAGTCTCCACACTTCGCTTCTTCAGCTTCAGCGACTGACCTGAGTCTTGGACCAGGTTCTGTGTATTGTAGGATCAGATTCTCGCTGTCTTCGGTTACCGAATGACTGTTGCTGCAGTGGTCCAGACAAGTGGTCAAGCATCCAATCGAGAAAATTTAATGCTGTGATGCACGCTTCGATGGAACCTGCATAGGACATGTTCCTGACTTTGGGTCCATAATTGGAGCATTTGGCGCAAAATATTGACAGAGTGCTTCGCAGTTGTACATACGCTCGCGTGGAGAAGCTCCTTCATGCTTTGAATCAGGCTTTGAATCAATCAATGAGTGCTTGCATGGATTAAAAGATGTTCCAAGCATATCACAAGTAGGGGGAGTATGAGAATCGTTGCATTATTACAGGGGAAACTAATTTTCAAGATACAACGAGTGTGTTTCTCAGACTAATTTTTGGAATTTTGTTTTACTAGTGAATAAAGAATGTTATTGTGAAATCATTTGGGAATGCAACTTGTTAAAATAATAAAAAATAATTTTACAAAAATATGAAATAGATGCATCAATAATGTGCCAAATGTTTGTTCTTTTCCTAATTTTTTTTATAAGACTATATTTATCTAATATTAATAAAAGGCAATTTGAATGTAGATGAAAAAAGTTATGAAAATAAAAGTGTATGAAGACATGAATTTGTTTAAATTTTACTTTTCAATCAATAATTTTTGATTATTTGTAGATGTAATTTAATATTTTATAAGTCCAAATTTATTAAGGGAGTCAATGTTATTTAAATCATTATTTTTTTATTCTTTTTGGATTTATTTATATTATTGGTATTTTTAATATATTTAGGTTTTATTTATATAATTATTTTTATTTAATGACTGCAATTTTGTGGCATTCTAGCTTTGCATAAAGCAATGTTTCTAAAAGAGAGATGAAATGTAACTTTGTTTTATTTTTAAAAGAAGTTATGATTTTTTATTAAGACACATAAATATCTCAACATAAATGTATAATTTTTAAAGTTTTATTCTTATCTACTAATGCAAGTTGGGTGCTTCAATATTAAGTTTGATAAGCAACTTTATCATATGACTTAGTAAAGAACAAAAACGTAAATGTTTGCCAAATATTTGGACATTGACAAGGCTCTCAAATTTTCCAATAGCTAGCTATCTAAGTTCCAAAGTCATCATAGATTCAAAGGATTAAAGTTGCATGGTGAAAGTGATTCTATTGACAATACAACTATTGGGTTTAAGATACCTATGCTACAAGTAAAGGTATTATAATATGAAATGTGGAATATATATGCGATAGACAAAACCAAATTCCTTTAATACATGGTAATTGACAAAATCATTGTTCAATACCAAATTGAAGATTTTGAGAAAGATAATACCAAAATTGCAATTGATTTTACTACTAATCGAAATAGCTTTAATCAAAGAGAGATTTTTATTTTTAAATATATTTCAAAAATATAGGTATTCAAATGATTAAGTAGCTATAAATCTAGGTTTTATTACCAAAACAATTAAAAGACTTTGGTGTTTACATTTTAGTTCTAAGAATGGCTGCAAAAATTTACCAATTAAATAAAAATGGCTTAAAAATAAAATGTTTCTTCTGTTGGACAATGCCACATTATATATTAAAGGAGATTTGGAATTGACAAACATTAACTATTAATGCTTCTTGTAAACTCAACTTCAAAGATTCAATCCTAGATGTTTGTATAATTACAAAATTTAAAGAAAAATACCATATCTATTAACTTCAAGATGTAATTGATAGGGATGAATGTTAAGAAGCAAGTATTTATAAATTTGACCAATTGGTTGCTATGAAATAGACTATGACAACCAAAAATGACATTTTTTTTTGCAACAATTGTAAAATACTTTTTTAATACTTGATTATTTAAAATTGAATAAATTTTTAAGATTTAAAATTTAAAGTTAAACTTTAAAAGAATCAAATTAAACAATAATCTAAAGAAATAATTAATTGGCTTCTATTGCACCATTGTATGTTAGTTGCCAATTCATTCAACCTTTTCAATGAAGCACAATTGAATACGAAGAGATTTTAGAGGAGGATTTTATTGTCCTTATTTTTGCACAAAATGGTGACTATAAAATGATTAATGAAAACATCAACTAGAAGAAGTATCCATATCTAAAGAAGAAGAATTATTTGATTGCAAAGTACAATTCAAATGCTTGATGAGACAAAAGATTACTACATTATTACAAAAATAATGCTTTTATTCATTTAAATGGAGCTTTGCATAACAAAACATAATAAAAAAATGTCAAATTCCTACTTTAGAGTTGTTTCTAAAAATTAATATTTTTTAATATTTATACTAATTATTAAATATTAAAAATATTATTTATTTATTATACTATTTCATTTGTTTTATAACAAAGTATTAATTGGTAGATATATCAAGGACATATACTAGAAAATTATAGAAGTTTCTAGAAGGTTCTAGAGAAGCTTTGTAGTTTATAGAAGCTACTTGAGAAGTTTTCAAGCTCGTGGAAGCTGCTTGAGAAGTTTTCAAGCTTGTGGAAGCTGCTTGAGAAGCTTCCTAGTTTGTAGAAGCTACTTGAGAAGCTTCTATCACAGACATATATATTTACCTCAATAGTTACTTATATGATTAAATAAAAGTAGGTAAAATAGAATAATTTCATAAAGTCTTCTAGACAATCTTCCTAGAAGCTTCATAGACGCAGTTTTGACTTTAGATGTGTTTGTAGGTTAGAAACTTGGCCAAAAAGCTAACCATGTATTGGTAGCTTGTGGAACAAGTTGTCTCCATGTAGTAGCTTGTAGAACAAGCCAACTACGTGGTGCATACATAGATAACTTCTCTTGCAAGATAAGACATGTGGCTAGCAAAGTCAACACATGCTAGAGGTCCTATAGGACATCGCTATGTGGCTCTTAATTAGATAGTATATATGGAGGCAAGAGTGAAGACTTCTTCACTCTTGTCAACGCCTTTCCAATCTTAGTCTTGTTTCAAGACGTTCTAGTCTTCTTGTTTTTGGCAATAGCCATTCTAGTTAATATTACATCACCTTTTGAGTGACTTTCTAGTTCTCTTTACTGATAGAAGAGTGTCTTCAGGATTTTCTTTCTTCAAGATTCATATCCTTGACAGTTTGACAAGAGTGCTAGCATATTATTTTTGTCTTGTTCTAGAAGTGAGTGGATTATCCCACTTCTATTATTGTATTTTGAAGGTTGCGGACTATCCACCTTTAAATAAAAAATCTTATTTTCTAACACTGATCTTTTCCTTAAAGAGAGTGGATTACCCCTCTTTGTAGGATTTATTTTTAGAGATTGCAGATTACCCTCCTCTAATTTAACTTTTGAATTCGTTTGAGTTGTCTATAGAAGAAAAGATTGTGGATGCTATTTTCAATAGAAGTGAGAATAGATTTGTAACTATAGCAGATCTTCATTAGCTTGTCAATACTCTAAGAGTGAAAATTTCACGTATTTCCAATGTGAATCATGAAAGTACTATACCTACACCTATGGAAGAAGTTCAGAGTCTGTGGCAAGAAGTTGTACAGTTGAAAGAAACAAGTAGATCAACGTCACAACCAAATCTAGGGAGTTTTCCTTCTACAAGTTTGACAATGACAATGATTAGTATGCCTTAGAAGTTTGATGGAACAAGATCAAAATTTCGAAGATTTTTGCAACAAGTCAAGCTTTATCAAAGGTTACATCCTTTCCAATATCCTAATGGATTTACCCAAGTCGGATTTATAGGTGCATTACTATCAGGAAGTGCTCTCTCTTGGTTTGCACCTTAAATAGAAAAAGATTCATGACTCTTTTATGATTTGAATTCATTCCTAGAAGTATTTACGCCACATTCGAAGAAAGTGATCGAGAACGAGTAGCAGAGACCAAGCTTTTATCCTTATGGCAAGGATCACGATCAACTACTACATATGCTACCAAATTCTAAAATCTTGCTTGCAACATGGACTGGAATGACAAAACACTTATCAATTTCGATATGGATTGAAGGATAGCGTCAAAGATTTGTTACTGACAATGCCGAAAGTAAAATCTTTGGAACAATTTATTATTCAAGCCATTGTATGTGATAATTATTTATTTGAAAGGCACATTACAAAGATTTGGTTGGAGAAGAACAAGTCAAGTAATGGCGGCAGCTCCCAAGTTTTTTGAAACGTATTTGTCAAAGCCAGAACCAATGCAAATTGATATGATATGTTTTAAACTTCTCACAAAGCAAGAAAAAACTCGACGTCGTTAAGAGGGATTATGTTTGTATTATGGAGAAGCTAAGCACACTGCTGAATATTGTCCAAAGAAGCAACATAATTATAAAATGAGGAGCACAATTACCAAAGAAGATAATGTGTTGAAAAATGAGTTTCTTCAACTACAATAAGGACAGTGTGGTTGGAATCATGTACAACAATTAGTAAAGGTCCTATCCTCTCCTCAAACCCTTCACCTTGTTTTATAATAGAAGTATATTTAGGACCTAATAATCATAAAAACTTTACCTTATTAGATTCAGAAGCCTCAACATGTTTTATAGAAGAAGATTTTGCCAAAGAACAAAAAATACCTTTAGTGAAGAAAGTTAAATCCATACATGTAGAAGTCATAGATGGTCATTCGTTGTCTTCTGGAAATGTTATCCATAAAACTATTCCTTT